TTCAGACGACGATAAAGGGTTTCATGAATATGAAGTCAAGAAAAGTCAGGAAGTACAGGAAGACTTTAAATTCTGTCTCGGCTTTAAGGTTTATATCTAAGCTATCTTATGCTATTTATAACATTAAATACTTGTAAATAACTAAATATTCAATTATTAAGGTGGATTTATCCGGTAAAATAAAAGCTGAATTAATAAATGCTCAAGAAGATGGTGCACCTTTATATCCTATTGGTAATAATTTATTAAAAAATAAAATGTATGGTTAATTGTATTTAGCATATTATTATTCAATCTGATTATTATTCCTATTATTAGTTGTTGAATCTGCTACAAATCAATCGTTTGTTACCCAACGATTAATAAAGAAGAATTCTCGTTTTATAGAAAATACATATATTGTTAATGGAGTTGGAATGTCAAAACTACTTCAATCCAGATTACAAGGACGCCGATTATATATTGATCGTGAAAGAATGGACATGAAATCATTAGAAATTTTGATTATACATGGATTAAAAATGGAGGATGAACTTTTGGGACCATTTCGTAGCGAAATACAAACGCAAAATTACAGAATGAAGAAATTATGAAAAAGGATAGTGAAAATATTTCAAATTTAGCATGGAATAAATTATATGATCGTTATAGGTATATATATTCATTTTTTTCTTTAAAAAAACGAAATTAATCATTAATTGCTTATTGTTTATACTTATGTTTTTTACAGGCCTTTTGAAGAGTTCGAAAGAAAACTTGCGAAAATTACTCCTTCTCGGAAAAATATAATTGATATAAGCGATAAGGGTTAAGTATATTTATCATTCAAAATTGTTTATATTTATTTTATTATCCTTATCAGTTTATGTTTTAATTTAGATTTAGAAAGGATCCGTTTAAATTTTCCCGATATAGAAGGCCGAATTGATGAAGTAACTAAAATCAATTCCAAAAATTGGAATAAATTGAAAGATCGATATATTTTAACGACGACAATTATTTTTGATATATTGGAAATGACTTGACTAAAGAATCTGCAATACAAGTTTTTTATAATGTATTCGTAGAAACCGATAAAAAATCATTCATTTATCGTCTCCCTTTTAAAAAATTTAGTAATATGCCTTTTATAGATTTTGTATTGCATCTTTTTAATTCCGACAATTTGCTTGATATAGAATCAATTCAAGACCTTATTTCATCAAAAAATCTATCAGATATAAATTCTGTTCAACAGATTATAAAGTCCAAAAATCTAGATGTAAATTCTGTACAAGACCTTATTGATTTCAAGAATTTATCAGATGAAAACTTTGTACGAGAACTTATTAATTCTCCATTTATTCGAGAAGACGGACAAAGCTTAGCAGAAGTTTTCTTTGAAGAATACAATGATTTGAGAAAATCTCTTTCTAAAAACGTTAAAAAATTTCTGAAAGATGATTCTCTCGTTCGACAATTAAAACTTTACTTTAGCGATAAATTTAGACAAGAGCAACAAAAAATTGAATCTCGTGAATTCAATAGAATTTGTAATGTAATAGAAGAAAAGTATCAAAATAATGGGTGAGTCTTGATTAACTAAATATTAAATCAAATAAATTTTATTTTTTTTTAAAATAAAAAATTCTTTTAGAACTATGCAGATGAAGATATTGGGCATAGCAGGTGATAAGTTATGAACATTATAAGTAACCAATTACGATTTATTAACGCTTTATTAAATATTCTTTTAGTATATAACTTATACTCTAATGATTTTTCGTCATGTGATTCTTTCTTATTCAATCATAAGCTTGAAGTAATTGAGCCAAATCAACTTCAAATAACAATTTATGAAACATCATAAAATCAGTCGGATACTTTTCATCTTCGTAATGAAGAGCATTATATTCCAAATCCAACTTTGCTTTCATATAATTATTTTGGTCCATTTGGCGTAACTTTGCAGATTAATCCTGCAATTTACGATTTCAAGTAATAATTTAATATTTTTTTTTTTGATTTCTTAATTTTTTAAAATCTCTTTATCTGAATATATTTATAAATTATAGAAAAATATCTCAATTTGATAATCGCAAATTTCTTCTTGTGCTTTACAATAAAACAAACCAACAAATTGAGTTATTCTTTGATACTGCTCAACGGTTAGCAAAAAATTTTAAAGCATTCAAAACATTAAATATAGACGATAATTTTCTTATTGCAATTAATGAGCCAATGGAATTAATTGCAATATATAATACAAATAAAGTTGTGGTAAGCCGAATTAATCTTTTCTTGGTTTTTTTTTTAAAAAAAAATTCTGACTATTTATATCCATTTCTTAGTTAAATGTATATACTTTTAACGATGGACAAAAATATTTATATGCTCGAAATCCAAATGTCCTGTTAAAACAATGGTACAATAATTTGGTTCCAAATCTTCAGCATTTATTTTTTATTAAAGATACCGAAGAACTTTGCTTTGTTGAAAAAGGTGGTCGGGCACGTATCTTCAGTCTTATTAATAAGCAATTTCGACCAGCGGTTTGTAGTTTTCCATCAAATACTGCAAATGTTTTAAGTTCACCCGATGGATCATGTATTGTAGCGTTTGTAAAAGAAAAATTAGAGTATCATAGCGTTACAGAAATCAAGGTTGATAATAATAATAAGATTAGCCATGTTACTGATGACACAGAGAATTTTAATAATGTACAACAAAATAATTCTATCGATGCCAACAACGTTAAAGAAATATGCCGTGCTTATGTTTATTTTTGCACAAATTTTGGCGGTTCAGTTAATAAAGGTAATTTAATTAATTTACTATTTCTTTATAAATATCTATATAAAACAAGCAATATTTTTTTTTGATAATTAACGCTTTCGTTACTTTATAGTTGTTGACTTACCATCAAATCTTCAATCCCTGGAATACTTGCAATTTACTTGTATTAATAATTTACAAACTCACTTGATGTCATTTGATTTACAAAATGGATATTTTAATTCCTTAATAGCTAACATAACCCTCGAAAAAACTCAATATCGTTTCCAAAAACGAATGCAAAAACAGTCAATTGGACGTGTGAGGTTAATTGATTCTATTATCGAAGGAGAGTATACACGCTTTAAAGAAATCGTTGATAATGGAGAGTTTATAGTGTTAATGGGAGAAAGATTTAGTGTGATTGATGTTATTTCTGACACAAAGTTAAAAATTGCTGGTAATTTCAAAACTATAAGTGGATTTGATAACTGGATGGATTTCCGCATTGAACCAAAATCCAAATTAAATGGTCTCGTCGATGCCTATAAATTAACATTTGAGAAATATCCAGTTGACAGTTGCATTGATCCTGAGCAAAATCGTCCACTTAATTTGAAGATAGTACTTGATATCGAAAATAGAGATATAATAGATGAATATGAAGAGAAATTTGAGGAATACATTTCTGTAATCTTTGAAAATTTGAAGAATTCCACAAAAAAGCCCTCAACTCTCCTAAATAGATTCTCTACATCAGTCATTACTTTCACTGAACTCGATATTAAAAATGTAATCTTTCAAAAGTATTCATCAGAATATAAATTAGGAGATTGGATTATTCAACTTTGTTGTTTAATTCCTATACAAATTGCTGTAGCAAGTAATAACTTTTTTCAACCTCTTAGGGATGGATTGTCTTCAAATGTTGAATTTGATGGTCATCATGTTAATAATAATGCAGAAAACATTTCGTTTGGATGGTATGAAGGAATTTTCAAACATTTCAGTGATAAAAAAGTAAAAGTTGTTTCTAGCATGGGTGAACAATCATGCGGAAAATCTTTCATGCTAAATCATCTTGTTGGAACTTCGTTTGATGTCTCTGCAATGGTAAAAGTTAATTTTTTGATTTCTATTAATTAATTTAGTAAGAAATTATTCAATCAAATTTTCATTTAGCGTTGCACTGAGGGTGTATGGATGTCACTAGGTAAATTAAAATTACCTTTATATTTCTCTGTATAAAAAGTTAACTTTTTTCTTTAAAAACAAATAGTTAATACCAAATCATATCTTTATGTCGCACTCGATTTTGAAGGTTTAAATTCTCTGGAGAGAAGTCCTCAAGAAGGTAAATTTGCAATTTAATATTTAAATTATCCTTTCACCTTTGATATTCATGATATTAATTTTGATTTTTTAGACCTATTTTTAACACTTTTTAATTCAGTCATATCAAACGTCATACTCTTATAGGTATTATCGCATTATTTGTTTTCGTTCATTACATACTTTGCTCATGTGAATCCTTTAAATTTAAATCAGAATCAATTTGCAGTAAATAGAGATATTTCTTCAATGTTCCAGAGATTTCAAGGCGGTGCAATGTTATTTGAAAAAGATCCAAAATTATTTCAGGTACAAATATAATGCTTTTATTTCTAATTTATACGTAAAGGATTAGTTTTGTTAATTTCTTTAATGATTTAGGCAAAACTTTGTATTATAATAAAAGACGTACCTGATGCCGATAGTGATGGCATTCATCAAGAATTTCGGTTAAGATTTTCTCAATTGGTTTCAGATGTATAATTGCTATTATTAATTTGTTTTATCTTTGGTACGGTTCAAGTTTTTCTTTTTTTAATAAATTATTGTTAACGTATTAAGGAAGGTGAAGATAATTTCATCTCAAGAATGTATCAAGGTGGATTGGATATTATTCCTTGGCCAATTTTTAATGACTCTGCGTGGTTTAAGACTTTATCAAAATTGAAGCGTAGGCTAGATAAGCAGGAAGCCAAATATGACAATGCAAGAACTTTCCTACGAAATACAAAAGTACTTATGGCTAAATTAAAAGTTAGTATACTATCGTATTAGTAACCATTAATTAAAGTAACCACAGTATTAAATTTTATGTTTTTCTTTATTGTAAATTTAGATTTGTGATTGGGGACCGTTAGATGAAAACCTCATACAAATCCGTGTAGTAGCATTAAAAAGTTTATTAATAAATGCAATTTCTTATGGTTTTGAGCAAGATGACTCTGAACTTATGGTATTAAATTATTTTTTCTCGTCAATTATAATAGATTTAAAATTTTTTATTGACGTTATTTATTATTTCATTAGAATCATGAAACTGGAACACCGATTGATGACCCAATATCAAAAATATCTGATATTTTCCATGACTTCAAAGATTCCGATCGAATATTACCGGATTCTGGCCTCCAATTATATGGTGAATATGAATCTTTTGTCAAACTGTCTGAAGATTTAAGAGATTACTTCGAAGAAAATTTTCAACCGCGAAAAGATACACCTGATGATGCCAAATGGTTCGCCAACTTAAATGGATTCATTAAGTATATTATAGATCGTCGAGTTTTGCTCAAGATTGGTATATGCAAAATACAGCCAAGTTTTCTCAACAAAATAAGCAAAACGGTGACATTGTTAACGGCAAGTATGCAATGGAGCAAGAAATAAGCAAACTTAAACTTTTATGGACATTGTGTGGTTTAACATGTCATAATTGTGGTTTAAAATGTGTTAATAATCGTGACCACAAAGAAAATCATGATTGTTTGACAGATCATAAGTGCCATTTTCTTTGCCACTTCACTGAAGTTCACAACGAAACATCAATTCCAACATGTAATTATATAGCTGGACATGAAGGTAAACATGCTTGCAATGAAGCGAATCATTTGTGTGGTGAATCATGTAGTCTTATCGATAAGCGAAACTGCCAACAAGTTTGCTCAAAAGAAATCGGACATGTTGATGAGCATTTGTGTCAATCTTCACGTCATTATTGTGGTGAAACTTGTTCATTATTAACGATAACTCAGAAAGGAGATTATCATTGTCTTAATAAATGCATTATACCATATGAAGAACAACATGATTCACACCGCTGTGAAAATGAGGCGTGTCCGATTCAATGTCCAATCTCAGATTGTCAGAGAAAATGTCAAAGCAGTGATCATTTTCACTCTGATTCTAATTCGCAAGTGGACCATTTTTGTGGGTATGTATTAATATAATGATGTTATTTGCATTCTTTGAATATTCATTAAATTATTTATGATTACAGAAATGAGCATCAATGTCAAGAATTATGCGCAGTTGATGGTATTTGCAAAGTAAAACTTGAACCCAAGAAACAAGAAGAGGTTTATCAAGGATTAATTGAAGAAACTTCTATTACATTTACTAAGGTATAGATTAATATATAATGATGTGATAAAATTGATTTATTAATTTTTGATGTTTATTTATTATCATAACAGTATATTCAATTAAGTAAAAGATTGAAATGTAACATGAAGATTCCTCCAAATGAATTTAAACATACTGGAAAGCATACGCATCTTACAAATGATAACCTTACACAAGAAGATGGTTTTCATTTTTGTGATGTAAAATGCCAATTCTGTGAATATTATGTATGTATCGCAAAAAAAAATCCTTTGTTTGTTTATAAAATATGCTAATACAATATTTAAATTAGTGTACTTTACCCTATGGGCACACACAAATACATAGCACAACACATGGAAATATGACACAAACTGAGTTCACTAATGAAGATAATGAATTTGAATATGCAGGGTATTGTATAAAATGATATAAGTTTATTTGTAAATATATAATATTAAACTATTATTAAAATAATTCAATTTAGACATAAATTAATAGTTGGTGATCGAGGAACTTTTGTTCTTTGTAACCTGGTATGTTGCTTCATAATTTTTATTTATATTATTTTGCGACTTTAATTTTAAGAAATTTCTTGTATTAGTTTTGTAAAGATTTAGGAAGACACCGTCATATCGATTATTGTCAAAGTTCAGTTATTTGTCAAGGACAAGATATCCAGCATATTGATGGTAATTTAAACTATTTGTTTTCAAACGTAAATGCATTTATGATATGATATGATTAACTATTTAATAAATCGTAGAACAAGTACAACCTAATCCTAGTAAACCAAAAGATTTCATTTCTCACAAATTGTTCTGGCAAAGAACAGGTTTCAAAAATACACATACATTCTTTATATTCTACTTTTTAATATATATTCATTTGATTTTTAAAATTTCAGATCCTTATTCTGCTCAAGAACAACAAGAATTTACGAAATGTGATCATGAATGTGCTGATGAAAAGCATCGCAAACCTAAAAGATCTACAAGCGTATCACTAACTAAATCATTTTGTGAATTATCACTTTTTCATGCTCCGCTTGATTCACATTCTAATCCTCCAAATGATAATGGATATATATCCTTGGATGGGCATCATTTTAACTGTGAGAATCCAAGTACACGTGAAGCCGCTTTTCATATTATCTTTGTCTTGGATCGTTCATCATCTATGGAAAATCAAGATAAAAAACCAATTCACAATTATTCAATTTCCAATTATCTAAAGTTCCGGAATCATAATAATAGGCTTGGCGCAGTCTATCAAGCAGTATGGTTAAATTTTTTAATAATGCTTTTGCAAGCCTTAGACTTTATCTTTAATGTTAACCTTTTAATTTTAGGTTTATCAATTTATGGAAGCACGTATAAATTCTGTTCAAACAAATCATGATAAATTATCTTTGATCTTATTTAATCACGAGGTTGGATTTTACATGCGTTAATATTCGAATTTAAAAGATTTGAATATGTACTAATTGTTAAATAATTAAAGGTTATCGTTCCGTTTGAGAATCAAGAACTATCAAATCCGAAGATATTGTTAGATAAAATGACTGAACACCAACCTCTTGGTGGAACACGTTTCGAACTCGCAATTCAGAAAGCTGGATCTTTGATTACATCTCATTATGACCCCGCAAGGTATTATTAGTTTGAACCAAAAAAAAATAATTAATAATGTTCTAAGTATACCTTAAATTTTTTCACTTTTTAGAACAAATATTATTATCTTCTTATCTGATGGAGAATGTAATACTCCAGAAAAGCAGCTTCGTGATATCTGTAAAGAAAATCAAACAATTAGGTAATTATTATTAAATTCATGTATCGTAACGTAATTTAATTTTAATCTAACTTTCTTTGGAAACTTTCAGAACTCCATTATATCTATATACAGTATTATTTAGCAGCGACTCAGGCATTTCCTCCTTAAAAGAAATGGCGACAATCGCGCAAACTTATCACGTTAATGCTATATCATCCGGTGGCTTGCACTGTCAATTTACTCAAGCGATCAATGAGATTAATTTAGTAGATCATTTTATTAACGTAGCAGAAAGTTTAAGAAAACATAAGCCGACTTTGTTAAAGAAGGAATTTATTTTATAATTTATAAGTTTTAAAATTTTGATGTTTTGGCGGTTATTCTTATTCTTTTAGCTTATAAAATTATAGTTGAAAGACTAAGTTTTTATCCTATATGCGTCATGGTCTATGTAATAGTATAAAATAAAATTATGCTCGGGAAAAATTTTTTTCGGTTAAATAATCGGTTTTTTAACCGGATAAAATTAACTAAGGTCGTCACAATAAATTTTAAACATAAAAACCTTAATTCTGGCCGAAAATTGAAATTTTATTTAAAACGCAGCGAATGTAAAATTTTGTGGACAAACTCTTGCTGGTACGGTTCAGAAAGTTTTCTGCACGGATTTTTTCGGATAATAATTCAAGTTCTAAATTATTATATTTAAAATTTTTAACATAACCATTGAAGGGATAGTATCAATATTATTAAAAATTATATTCATTGAATTGTCTAATAAAATTTATTAATAAACCCACCCGAACTTTTTTTTAAAACGAGGATTATAAAGAAAGGACTTGAAGTCCAACTATTCGAGAAATTATTGTGCCTGATGAAATAAGCAGTTTTGAAAAGTCTTACTTAATCGTTTAAGGACTTAAGACAAGTTCGCGAAAAAAAATTTACGAACACATTTTATTTATAGTCAAATTTATTTATCAATAATTTGACCCCACCATCGCCGGAATTCAAACAATTTTTATATTATTTAAACAACATATTATAAGTATAGTATAATTAATGCATAAAGCATTAAGGTGCGCTTTCTACTAATTAAAATTAATACTATGTATGGTATCATAAATTTTACTATTGAAGATTTTTAATATTAAGATATTTTATACTTAATTTTCGTAATGTTACTTCTTAATAGCTCTGGATTCTTCTTGACTTTACCATTTCAAATTTCGCAAAAGTATTCAAAATAACTGCATCTTTCATAAATTGCTTGTCTTGCTTTTTTTTTTTATAAAAAAAAATCCATTAACTTCAAAAATAGGGATCATGCTCAATCGTATGCAAACAGTTTCCGTTTTGTAGTTCTCAAAAAAGAACCTACAGAATAGGAATTAAAATTTGTAAAGGTTTAGAAAATGACATTAATTGTTGAAATAGAAATACTTTCAGATTACAAGAAATCTTATTAAATAATAAAAAATTTGATGATGAATTTGAAGAATTCTGCAAGGCTGCTGATATTACTAATTTTACTAATTTTTCTAGTTAAAAACATATCTAATATTTTATTATTCACCAAAAACAAGTGATGTGCTTTTCAACAAATTAGATTTGAAAACTCATGCAAACATGTCAAACAATCTAAATAAACTTTGATTAGCTTCAAGTAAGATTGAAAAATTGACGGAAGAACTAGAAAAAATGAGGGCTAAAAACAAATTTGGACCTTAGGTACGTCAGCAAAGCATGATATTAATACCCAGGGACGTCAATACCAATCCAATCCCAAAACTAAGATCGATTCCAGTAATCATCTCAAAATTGGAAAGGTATCAGGAAATTATTACGAAAATATTGCTTAAAATAGGATTCAACTTTGAATTTGAATTCAAACTAGAGCAATCCATCGGAATAGTGGTTTGAAATAAAAAATGTTATATAAAATATAAAAATCGAAAATTGGAAAATGAATCAGTAAAGGTATTGAACTAAGAATTTTAATAAGTGAAAAATTTCTACAAACTAAGGAAAATTTTTTATCATAAAAATAAAAGGAAAAGATATTCATAAACATCATGGCGGAAACTCGTAAGATAACTATAAACCTTTATACATCTGTAATCTTGACATAAAAGGTTTCTAAAAAATAAGAATAAATTATTGAATGAACCTGTAAATGAATTTTGTAAGAAAAATGAATATAAAAATAAAAATTTTTATATGACCTTACACGACAAGCTTAAATATGTGTCTACTGATCCAACGAGGAATGAAAATATACTTTGTTGGTCAAAATATGATATTTTTTATTTCCATGATAGAAATTTATCACTGAAGTTAAATGAGAAGGAAAATGCATTATTGCCAAAACCTCCTTTTTATTATATATTTGGCTTAATTAATGAACATATCCTAAACTAATTCGAAAATCTAAAATTTGTCAATGTTTTTATAGTATGGTTTTTTTTATACTAGAAAGTAGAGGGCAAAGGATGGATCCGGGCCGGAGTACCAGCCAGGAGGGCCTGTAGGTAGATAACTGCACTGCACGGTCAGCTAAACTGTACTGTACAAAAGTGTTCAGCCAATAATAACTCATTGTAAACAAATATGATTGGTGGTTATCATTTTCATACAGTACTGTTTATATGATAGTATACCCCAGCCCGAGATTTCTTATAATTCTGTATGTTGTTTAATATAGATGCCGATCATTTTTACCATTTGTTAAAATGAGTTTTGCCAGGCATAGTCAAACTTCAACTTTTCTGCTTATTTTCTTGACATTTTAAATATTTTCTTTTTTTTAAAAAAAAATATTTCATTAATGTAACGCGACAAAATGGCAAAAGTCGAAACCCTATATTTCGACGGATTTGTTAATAAGTAAATAATATAATTTTGACTTTTGACGGGATTTTATTATGGTTTCGAGTTTCGAAGAGTTTGCCAATAAGGTTTTATTACAGCTTTGCCAATGACACCGTCGAAACCCGAGAGTTTTGCCAGGCAATCATAGTATTTAGAATTAAAAAATGCACTCCAATAATAGTAAAGAACTCCCTCCCAGATATAATATAGTGTCAAAGTATAAAAAAAATTTCTTTTATCAAAATTTAAATATCAATTCATAGTAACTTTTTGTGTTTTGTAAGATCACGATTAACGCATTGCATATATAAATATACAGGGATATTGACTTCATCTCCTTAATACATTACATTAAAAAAATTGACTAAATTAAGTATTAAATTGCGACTTTTTTATGATAGCAAAAAGTCGTAAATCATCAAGTTATTTTAGCAAAACTAAAATGCCACACAAGCAGGCTCGAATTGGTTCGCAAAATTTATTTCGGGATGCTCCAATCATGAAAAACGCTCTGGAAACGATTCCCCTCATGAGAAATGATTTGAAGAGAATTCCACGCTCCGGGAGTGATGGTTCCTGAATTACTGTATCAAAGAAGAGATATTTAAGTTTTTTTTATTTTTAAAAAAAAAATTTGAAAAATTAAAACAAAAGCTTTTTTCTATTTAGGCGAGTTCGATCTGATTCCGTTGTTTTATTATAAAAGGCACGGTAAATAAATCTAAATTAAGAAATTTCTTACACTTTTTTTTTTCTTTTAGGAGATTATTTGTTATAGAAGGTAATAAATAATAATTCTTGTTTTAGTTTTATTTTTGATCCATAAAAAACGTTAAATCTTTGTAAGCCCGTTAAATACGAGCGATTCATATTGATATAGCTCGAGATGGCCGGTTCTGCTTACGCAAAGCTCAAAGTATAACAAATCTTTAAATATGTTCATACTATGGAACCGTATTTTTTTTTATTTGTTATGCAACATACGTCGATGACTAATGCTGGCCAAACCTTCTTAAAGGTATTATAAGTCAGCCCAAAATAGGCCCATAATTTAGGCCAGTCGGCATCTGACGCAAAATTATAGTTACAACATATATATAAATCCGTATTATGTTGTGCACTTTTAGGTGTTACAAATTCACATTCTCGCATTAGAGGTTGGAACCGGTTCTATTTCCGAAAACCGTTTTTAAATATTCTAAAAAATTTGACCCGGTTGCACCGGTTTTAAAAAACCGGGTTGAATCAATCCGATTTTAAATTTTTTACGATTATGTAAAAATATCCTTTAAAAATTAACTTTTCATATTCTTTAAAGCATATCGATTACCTCCTCGTCATCGAAAAAATTCCAAATAATAATATTAGTATCATTTTTCCCCTTTTCTGTTATGCAGCTTTATTTGTTCCTGCAAAATTTGTTTCACAAATTTTGCAATAAATAATGTTAGGATTTTCTTTTTCGATCCGAAAAAAGATGCTGTATGACTGCGGTTAGTTCTAATTAAGAATGAACGAAAACTACTTTTGTGCTTGTCATATCGGTAGTTGTAAGTTCTGTAATAGTTTTTGTATCAGAAAGTATAACTGAAAAAGCAGATGGGTTCGCCATAATGAGAAATAAAACGTGAAAAAAGAAAAGAGTGTCAAAAGAGAGAATGATTGTATGGGAAAAGCTCGTGCGAGAATCTAAATATGGATTTTTGTGTTAACCTTTAATTATTTTTGCTAAATCGAAAACCGGATTTTCCAACCGGTTGCATCGCAACCGGTTTTGCGTCGCTCTAAAACTTTGGAACCGGATTTATTCAAAACCGGTTAGACCCGAAGTTAAAACCGAATTGTTATGCGTTTATTTATCACGTGATCATAAATTTGAACGTATAAATTATTTTATAATTTTGTTTCTTGTTAAAGTATTTATGCCGCATTCAGACTTATTATTATTCCATATCAATTTATTTTAATACTGTTAATATTGAGAATTGACACAAGTGATGTAATCTAGTATACGATCGATCATCATTTATGGATTTTTTTTTTATTTCCGGAAAAGGCATATCCATTATGTGTAACTGTTAAAACAAATCTGGTTTTCAAAATGAAAGTTATATAATGGTAAACAATTAATTTTTTTCTTTTTTTTTCGATACATCGTATCGTTATGCAAGCTATCAATGCTAACCAAGTTCCCGATAATTTTGGTAAGGATTTATTCGATAATTTTGAATGAAACGAGAAAATATTATTTTACAAGAAAAAAAACCTGGCAGTCAAGAATTAACAATTATTAGTGAGCAAATAAATTGTTATAATATCGTGAGCAATTTAAATTATAAATTTCTATACATTATATATCGAGACATTTAAAATTGAAAAAAGAGGCCAGTGTTGTCATAGGATAATGTTGGATAAAACATAAAAATTTGAACATAAAAAATGTACAGTACAAATAATCAATTATTTTCCTATACCCATACGATATCAAAGAGTTTCAGACGGATATAAATGACTCAATTATCCTCGTCAATCCATCGACGACGTCTGCGCCAACGAGTGGAATGGAAACTAACAACTTTGCAAATCAACAACCACCAATAGACTTATTTCAAAAAGATCCTTCTAGGCCTTCAGATGTATATCTAGGGAAACAGCAATGTGACCAACAAGACGATGAAAATATTCCCAAGTTTCAAGCTAATGAATCTTTATCCAATGAACATCAAGAACGAAATAAATCAGAAAACGTAATTTCACCCGGTAGAGACAAAATAATGAATACAAACATGTTCGACCGCAACATAAATGACTTTGAGATGCAAAAAAACAAATATACACAAGATTTGATTGAAAATATTCCTAATTTATATCGTTTATTAGACTTATGCAAAGACGATGGTTCGAATGGTCTTGGTATTATTCTTATATGATTAGCAAATTTGAATTTTGAATAAATTATTGAAAGAGTACTCACAAAAAATATTACATGATTTTTTAGTCGATAAAACAATTATCTCTAAGGATTTTCTAAACAAACTATGCAACGATATGGTTCCATCAAGTTTTAAGTCTATTTCTGAAATCAATTATACAGAATTGAACTCAATTTCTGTTCGCCTTATTGGATGTTACGGAAATAGCCATTTAATTTCAAAACTCTTATTGAATTTAAAGATTGTTGATCAAGAAACGTATGTAAAATTCTATGATGAAAAAATTATTCCAATAGTCAAAATCATATTTAATTGTTCTTTTTTTTTTTTTTTTAGATATGACTTGCTTACAGCCTCTCATCATCCTATCAACAACTCAAATAAACCTTGTTTACGTCCTGGTATTTACTTACTGGTTGTGAATCCAGATATTTGTTTAGTTATTCATTGGCCCGAAGTAGGATGTTACGAGGAAAATGCTCCTTCACAATGCAAAAAGAATATGACTAACCTACATAGGTATCATCTATTTATACAACCGGCTAATTTCTAAATATTTAAATTTTAATTAATTATAATTTTGCAAAACCTATAGATATCTGACAAAGGTTACCGAGCATCAGCTTTGCCTTATGAGTGATGAAGATTTAAAAAGTTTCGATTGGAATTTATACAATACCGATGTTGATTATGACGACGATAAAGGGTTTCATGAATTTGAAGTCAGTAAAAGTCAGGAAGAACAGGATGACTTTAAAATCTATCCCGGCTTTAAGGTTTGTATTTATACTTATTTATGCTGTATAATATATATTATTAAATATTTTTTCGATTATTAAGATGAATTTATCCGATAAAATTAAATCCGAAATACAAAATACTCAAGAAGATGGTGTACCCTTGCATCCTATTGGTAATAATTTGTATTCTATGAAATGAATATATTCAAAAATTCAATCATTTAACATATTATTACTTTTGATTTAGTTATTGAATCTGCTACAAATCAATCGTTTGTTACTCGGAGATTAATAAAGGAGACTATTCGTCCGCAAGTATTCCATTTATGGCTTTATATATCGGAATTCTCACAAGAACTTCAGTCCAGATTACAAGGACGACGATTATATATTGATCGTAAAACAATGGACATGAATTCATTAGAAATCTTGATTATACATGGATTAAAAATGGAGGATGAATTGATAACATTTCGTAATGAAATACACGCTGCAAAATTTCAGTATGAAGAAAAGAAGAAACATGAAATAGATACAATAAAAAAGGATTGTGATATAATTTTAAATTTAGCATGGAAAAAATTAAGTGATCGTTATAGGTATATATATTTAATATTTTTTTAAAAATAATAATCATTAATTTTTAATACTTATTTTCAGGCTTTTTGAAAAATTGGATCGAGAATTCTCGGAAATCCAATCACGAGAAAATATAATTGATATAAGTGATAAAGGTTAAGTATTGTATTCTTTAAGGATTATTTATAATTATTTTTTATTAATAAGTTTTATGTTTTATTAATTTAGATTTAGAAAGGATCCATTCAAAATATTCAGATAAAGAAGGCCAAATTGATGAAGCAATCAAAATCAATTCCGACAATTGGAATAAATTGAAATGTCGATATATTTTAACTTCGACAATTATTTTTGATTTATTGGAAAAGAATGAAGAATCCGCAAGACATGTTTTTTATGATTTGTTCAAACAAACTGATAAAAAATCATTTTTTTTTTCAATCTCTATTAAAAAGTTTAATGATATATCATTTATAGATTTCGTACATGAACTTATTAATTCTGAAATTTTGACTAAGAAGAAATTTATGACCAAAAATCTGAAAGATAAAAATTTTGTACAAGATTTAATTAGTTCCAAAAATATGTTAAATATAAAATCTATAAAAGACCTTATGAATTTAAAAAATATATCAGATGAAATATTTATACTAGATCTTGTTAATTCATCATACCTTGGAGAGGACAAAAAAGAATTAATAAGTATTTTCTTTGAAGAATACAGAAAATGGAAAGTCATCTTTTCTAATGAAATTAAAGAAATTCTGCAAAAAGATTCTCTCATTCAAAAATTATCACATCACTTAAAGGAAAAATTTGAGCAAGAAAAGAGAAATATTAAATCTCGTGAATTTCATAGGCTTTGCAATGTAATAGAAGAAAAATATCAAAATAATGGGTAAGTCTTAATTTCTAAATATTATATTGATTAATCGGCATCAAATAATTTTTCATTTTTTTTTTTTTTTTTTGTAAGAACTTTGCGGATGAATATACAGAGTATAACAGGTGATTGGTTATAACTGTATAAATAATTAATGATATGATGTTTTAACACATTATTTAATATTTTAGCAAGTAATTCTTTTAACTCTAGGGTCGACATTAATTATTGTTTCAAACATGAGCTTGAAATAATTGAACCAAAAAAACTTCAAATAACAATTTTTGAGACATCATTAGAGCAAGCGGATACCTTTCATCTACATAATGAAGAGTTTTATATTCCAAATCCAATTTTGCGTATTGGTGTAACTTTGCAGATTGATTCTTCAATTTACGATTTCAGGTAATAATTTAATATTTTTTTTTGACTTTCTTAAATTATTTTTGTATTGTCTGACAATATTTATAAATCTCAGAAAAATAGCCCAATTTGATAATAGCAAATTTCTTCTTATACTTTACAATAAAAAAGAACAAAAATTTGAAATGTTCTTTGACACTGCTCAACGGTTAGCAAATAATTTCAAATATTCAATTAAAATATTTAAATCTTTGCATACAGATGAAAATGTATTTATTGCAATTAATGAGCCGAAAGATCTAATCGCTATATATGATACAAAAAAAGTTTTGGTATATTAAATGTTCCTTGGGATATAATTGTTTTTATTATACTTAAAAAACATAATACTAATTAAAATTTTTTATAAAATAGTTGAACGTATACTCATTTAATGATGAACAAAACTATTTATATGCACGAGATTCAAATATCCAGTTACTACAATGGTATAATAATATGATCCCAAATCTTCGACATTTTTTTTTTATTAAAGACACCGAAGAACTCTGTTTTGTTGAAAAAGGTGGTCGGGCACGTATTTTCAATCTTATAACTAAGCAATTTCGACCAGCATTTAGTTTTCCATCAAATATTGTAAATGTTTTAAGTTCTCCTGATGGATCATGTATTGTAGCGTTTGTAAAAGAAAAATTAGAGTATAATAACCATGATAGCGTTACAAAAATCAAGGATGATAATGAGATTAGACATGTTGCTGATGATATGAAGAATATTAATAATACTGTCAATGATAACAACATCAAAGAAATATGCCGTGCTTATGTTTATTTTTGCACAAATTTTGGCGGTTCTGTTAATAAAGGTAATTTAATCTATTATATTATTAAATAAAACGAGCAATGTTTTTTTTTATTAATGCTCACGTTTCTTAATAGTTGTTGACTTACCACCAACCCTTCAATCCTTGGAATTCTTGCAATTTACTCGTATTAACAAGTTACAAACTCACTTGATGTCAATTGATTTACAAACTGGATGTTTTAATTCCTCAATAGTTAAAATAGCTCTCGAAAAAACTCAATATCGTTTTCAGGAACGAATGCAAAAACAGTCTCTTGGACGTGTAAGGTTAATTGATTCTATTATCGAAGGAGAGAATACACGCTTTAAAGAAATCGTTCATAATGGTGAATTTATAGTGTTAATGGGAGAAAGATTTAGTGTGATGGATGTTCTTTCTGATACAAAGTTAAAAATTGCTGGCAATTTCAAAACTATAAGTGGATTTGATAACTGGATGGATTTCCGCATTGAACCAAAATCCAAATTAAATGGTCTTATCGATGCCTATAAATTAATGTTTGAGAAATATCCAGTTGACAGCTGCGTTGATCCTGAACAAAATCGTCCTCTTAATTTGAAGATAGTTCTTGATCTTGAGAATAATGATAATATCGAAGAATATGACGAGAAATTTAAGGAATACATTTCTGAAATATTTAAAGATTTAAAGAGTTCCACAAAAAAACCCTCAACAGTTTTAAAAAAATTTTCTACATCAGTTATTACTTTCAAGGAACTTGATATTAAAAATGTGAAATTTCAAAAGTATTCATCAAAATATAAATTAGGAGATTGGATAATTCAACTTTGTTGTTTAATTCCTATACAAATTGCTGTAGCAAGAAATAACTTGTTTCTACCTCTCAGGGACGGATTATTTTCAAATGTTGAATTTGATGGTTTAGGACATGTGAATAATATTGCAGAAAACATTTCTTTTGGATGGTATGAAGGAATTTTCAAACATTTCGGTGATAAAAAAGTTAAAGTTGTTTCTAGTATGGGGGAACAATCATGCGGAAAGTCGTTCATGTTAAATCATCTTGTTGGAACTTCTTTTGATGGCTCAGCTATGGTAAGATATTATTTATAATTAATTATCTATTAATAAGAAATATTATTAAATAAATTGTTCTTTTAGCGTTGTACTGAGGGTGTATGGCTGTCACTAGGTAAAAAAAATTAACCCCTTATAATCTTAACATAAAAAGTTAACAATTTTTTCTTTTTTCAAAAAAAATATAGTTAATACCAAGGAATATATTTATGTCGCACTAGATTTTGAAGGTATAAATTCTCTTGAGAGAAGCGCTCAAGAAGGTAAATTTGCAATTTATGTAGCTTCTTTCATTTTAGATATTCATTAAATTAATTTTGTTTTATTTCAGACATATTTTTAACTCTTTTTAATACCGTCATATCAAATCTCATACTCTTTAAGGTAATATCGCATTAATGTTTAGTCGTTCTTTATAAATTCCGCTCATATGATCCTTAATTTCAAAACAGAATCAATTTGCAATAAATCGAGATATTTCTTCAATGTTCCAGAGATTTCAAGACGGAGCAATGTTATTCGAATCAGATCCAAAATTATTTAAGGTACAAGAAAATGCTTTCGATTCCGACTTATATATAATATAAAAGGTTTTAACTTTGTTAATTTCTTCAATGATTTAGGCAAAACTTTGTGTAATCATAAAAGATGTACCTAGAACCGACCACGAAGGAATTCTTCGAGAATTTAAATTAAGATTTTCTCAATTAGTTTCAGAAGTATATTTATTATTTGTTTAATTGTTTGTTTTGTTACAGTTCCATTATGATTTTTTTTTAAAAAAAAATAATTTTAATTTATTAAGGAAGGTGAAGATAATTTCATCTCAAGAATGTATCAAGGTGGATTGGATATTGTTCCTTGGCCAATGTTTAATGATGCTACATGGTTCAGGACATTATCAAAATTGAATAATAGACTGGATATGCAGGAAGCAAAATATGATAATGCACGAACTTTCTTACAATGTACAAAAGTAATTATGGCTAAATTAAAGGTTCGGATACCATTATAAATGTATCTTGTAATGAAATTTTATTTTTTGACCAGAAAAAAAGCTTACTTATTTTTTCATTATAACTTTAGATTTGTGATTGGAGATCGCTAGATGAAAACCTCATACAAATCCGTGTTGTTACATTAAAAAAATTACTAATAACTGTAATCTCTTATGGTTTGGAACAAAATGAATCTGCGATTGAACAACTTATGGTAATAATTTTTTTTTTATTTTGTAAATTCTAGTTATTAATAATTTTCATTTTATTTATTAATTTTATTAGAATCACGATACTGGAACACCCATTGATGACCCAATAGTCAAATTTTCTGATATTTTACAAGACTTCAAAGGTTCCGATCGAATATTAGCAGATTCTGGTCTACAATTATATGGTGAATTCGAGTCTTTTGTCCAACTTTCTGAAAATTTAAGAGCTTACTTTGAAGAAAATGTACAGCCGCGAAAAAACTCATCTGATGATGCTAAATGGTTTGCCAACTTGAATAGATTCATTAACTCTATTATTGAACGCAGAGTTTTACGTGTTCAAAATTGGTATATGCAAAATACTGCCCAGTTTTCTCAGCAAAATAATCAAAACAGCGACATTGTTAACGGCAAATATGCAATGGAGCAAGAAATAAGTAAACTTATAAATTTATGGACGTTGTGTGGATTAACATGTCATCAATGTGGTTTAAAATGTGTTAAAAGTCGTGACCACGAAGAGAATCATGATTGTTTAACGGATCATAAGTGTAAATTTCTTTGCCACTTCACTGAAGTTCACAACGAAACATCAATTCCAACATGTAGTTATATAGCTGGACATGAAGGCAAACATGCTTGCAATGAAGCGAATCATTTGTGTGGTGAATCATGTAGTCTTATCGATAAGCGTAACTGCCAACAAGTTTGCTCAAAAGAAATCGGACATGTTAATGAGCATATGTGTCAATCTTCACGTCATTATTGTGGAAAAGCATGTTCATTATCAACGACAACTCAGAAAGGAGATTATCGTTGTCTTAATAAATGCATTATGCCTTATGAAGAAGTACATGATTTACACCGCTGTGAAAATGAGACGTGTCCGATTCAATGTCCAATTTTAGATTGTCAGAGAAAATGTCAAAGCAATGAACATTTTCACTCTGATTCTAATTCGCAAGTGAATCATTTTTGTGGGTATGTATCAGTTTTATAATGTTTGCATTCTTTGAATGTTCGTTAAATTATTTTTGATTACAGAAATGACCATCAATGCCGAGAATTATGCCAAGAAGATGGTATATGCAAAGTAATACTTGAACCCAAGAAACAAGAAGAGGTTTATAAAGGATTAATTGAAGAAACTTCCATTACATTTACTAAGGTATAGGTTCATATATAATAATGTTATAAAATAGATTTATTAATTTTTGATGCTAATTTATTTATATTATTATAACAGTATATTCAATTAAGTGAAAGGTTGAAATGTAACAAAAAGATTCCTCCAAATGAATTTAAACATACTGGAAAGCATACGCACCATACAAATGAAAACCTTACACAAGAAGAAGGTTTTCATTTCTGTGATGTAAAATGTCAATTCTGTGAATATTTTGTATGCAACATAAAAAATTACTTTTATATCTTTGTTTTGTTTATAATAATATGCTAATACAATATTTAAAATTAGTGTACTTTACCCTATGGGCACACGCAAATACATAACACAACCCATGGAAATATGATACAAACTGAGTTCACTAGTGAAGATAATGAATTTGTATATGCAGGGTATAGTATATAAGTGATATCGTGTGATTATTTATAATTATATATTATATTTTTATTAAAAGATTTTTAATTAGACATAAGTTAAGAGTTGGTGATCGAGGAACTTTTGTTCTTTGTAACCTGGTATGTTACTTCATAATTTTTTATTAATAATATTTTGCGACGAATTTTTCTTTAAGAAATTCCCGTATTAGTTTTGTAAAGATTTAGGAAGACACCGTCATATTAGTTATTGTCAAAGTCAAGACATTTGTAAAGGGCAAGATATCCAGCATATTAATGGTAATATAAACTCTTTTTTTTTTTTAAAGTGAAAGCTTTTATTATTAACTATTTAATAAATCGTAGAACAAGTACAACCTAATCCTAATAAATCAAAAGATTTCATTACTCACAAATTGTTCTGGGAACGAACGGGTTTTAAAGGTAATACATATTAAATAAATGTTACTTTATATATACACATATTTAACTTTTCAAAATTTTAGATCCTTATTCTGTTCAAGAACAACAAGAGTTTGCGAAATGTGATTATGAATGTCCCGATGAAAGGCATCATAAATCTAAGAGATCTACAAACGAATCGCTTACTAAATCGTTTTGTGAATTACCTCTTTTTCATGCTCAACTTGATCCGAATTCAAATCCCCCTAATGATATTGGATATATTTCCAAAGATGGACATCATTTTAATTGTGAGATTCCAAGTTCACGTGCTACTTTTCATATTATCTTTGTTTTGGATCGTTCAAGTTCTATGACACTCCCAATCATCGGCGGCGACCACCTTTCATTATTATATTTGTTGTTCATGCCCTGGGATCCTAACAATAATAACCATAGACTTAGCGCAGTCTATAATGCGGTATGGTTAAAAATTTTATTAATGTCTTTCTAAAACCTTAGTCTTTATCATTAATATTAAACTTTATAAAATTAGGTGTATCAATTTATGAATGCACGTATAAACTCTGTTCAAACAAATCAATATCAAGTCATTCATGATAAATTATCATTGGTCTTATTTAATCACGAGGTTTTATTTTACGTCCGTTAACATTTGGATTTAAAAAATTTAATAAATACTAATTATTAAATAATTAAAGGTTATCGTTCCGTTTGAGAATCAAGATTTAACAGAACCGAAGAATTTGTTAGATAAAATGATTGAACACCAACCTTGTGGAGGAACGTGTTTCGAACTCGCAATTCAGAAAGCCGGAACTTTGATTTCATCTCATTATGACCCCACAAGGTAATATTAGTTTTATCCAAAAAAATAGTTATTAGTGTTAGCATTCCTTAAAACTTTTCACTTTTTTAGAACAAATATTATTATCTTCTTGTCTGATGGAGAATGTGAAACTCCAGAAAAGCAGCTTCGTGATATCTGTAAAGAAAATCAAACAAGAGGGTAATTATTAAATAATCAATGATTGTAACGTAAATTAATTTGAATCCTAATTTTTCTTTGGAAACTTTCAGATCTCCATTATATCTCTATACAGTATTATTTAGCAACGACTCGAATAAATCCTCTTTAGAAGAAATGGCAAATATTGCGAAATCTTATCACACTAATAATAAATCATCCGATGTTTTACGCTGCCAATTTACTCGAGCCATCGATGATATTAAATTAGTAAATCATTTTACGGATATGGCAGCTAGTTTAAGAGAACATAAGCCGACCTTGTTAACGAAGGATCCTATCATATAATCGTTTATATTTGTAATTTTTTTAAAAATGTGATGTTTTTGCGGTTGTTTCCTCTTTATCTTATAAATGATATTTATAAATAAATATATTTTATGTGTATTTATTTATTATTATTGTGAAGTGTATTGGTAAAAGCATTGATAAAAAAAATTTTTTATGTAAAAATGTTAAAATTGTGAACATAAATTAAAAAATTCTCCAACCACCAAATAAAATATTGCTCAAGAATTTTTTTTTTATTTTGTAATTTTCATTTAGTCTTAAGTTTTCGAAAGATTATCTTTACTTTGGAATTTTATGAAATGATTCAATTCGCAGCGAATGTAAACTCTGTGGAAAATAATACTCCTGCTGATTAAAAGTTTTTCTTTCCGAACTGAAAATAAATAAATTCGAATTGGATCGAAAATTTCGATTAAAAAAAATTATCATCCCTTAAATTTCAAACAATTATTTAAATAGCAAATTCTATTATACATTTGATTTAAATTTTTTTTTTTTTGAAATATTTATTAATTTCTTACAAATAATTAAAAGAAAGAACTCGATAAGAACTGTTCGAGGCTTTATTATTGATGCCCGAGTCTCCATCCAAGAAACAAGAGAAGGTTTATAAAAGATTAATTATTACATTTAATAAGGTATAGATTTATGTAACATTTTGTGATAAATATATCAATTATTTTTAGAAGATAATTTATTTTTATTACAGTATAGAGATGTAAAAAAAAGGTTCCTCCAATTGTATTTAAACATATTGGAAAGCATACGCACCTTACAATGAAAAACAACATACACAAGAAAATGGTTTTCATTTTTGTGATGTAAAATGTCAATTCTGTGAATATTTTGTATGTAACATAAAAAGTACTTTATATCCTTTGTTTGTTTATAAATATATACTCAATATTTTAAAATTAGTGTACATTACCCTAAATATATTATATTAAACTATTATTAAATAATTAATTTAGACATAATTAAAAGTTTGTGATCGAACTTTTGTTCTTTTGATATGTTACTTCATAATTTTTTATTTATATTATTTTGCGATTTTAATTTAAAAAATTCCTGTATTAGTTTTAGGAAGACACCGTCATATTGATTATTGTCAAATTCCAGATATTTAACACTATATACAGTTCATGACATATAGATGTTGGTGTCAGGTGATTCTACTTTATATAGTGGAAGCTATGGCCATTCCCAAAAAGGAAGGAATAGGT